TATTCATAGTTTGAAAAGGGCTCTTTATCACTAAATATCCTCCACATTACGACTGCTAAACTATAAATGTCGGAATTTTCGTCTGGTCTTTTGTGCGAATTTAGCAACCTCGGATCTATATAACAGATTTTATTTTTATTCCTCATAAGATCCATCGATGAGCTTCCGTTTACTACTGTAAATATTTTTGGATTTGTAATAAGAGCACGTTTATTATTGTCGATAAATATGCTTCTTGAATGCTGTAATATATATATATATTTATATAAGTGACAGATGCTCATTTTTAATTAAAAATATCAAAACCATTTAACTTACTAAATCTCCCTGGACTATGCTATGTTTATGTAAAAATTCTAATCCACTGGCTACATCTTTCGCGATATTCAATTTGTCAGTTTGATTAATTGTATTCAATTTGTCAGTTTGATTAATTGGATGTGAATGGTTGGTCAAATATTCACACAGGCTTTCAGCAGTAAGTTGCAATGCAAACATTACTGTTTCATTTTCTTTGTCTGAAGATATAAGAAAAAAATAAAATTCGTTTTAAATATTCATTTGTAATTAAATGGCATATTTTTCTTTTTTTAACATAATTTGTAAAAATGAGGTAAGTCATTAAAAATATATATAATAATACTACTGACAATGGCACTTTAATCATTATTATTTACTGTACTGTATATTTGTTTAAAAGATGAATTCGAAAAGAAAATTCATATAGGACTGATATTACTGCACCGTTTTTCGATTTCCTTATTTGAAAGTATATTTAAAGGAAGCAACTGAAATTAGGTTTATGGTTAGGGTTAGGATTAAGGATTGAGTGGTTATTATAGGTAAAATTGCTCTCTGCCACTTTATTAGTATCCAAGCATTCAATACAGGTATATATATTCGCTTCTTGTATTTCGGCTTTTTTAGAGCTTCGTAAAATTTACAATTTTGATTTGTTAATCAATGTAGATCTTTCAAATAAGGAAATTAAAAAACGGTCTTCACATAATTATGTTAAACAAAGAAAACAAAGAATAATTGCTGCTTAAAATGGTGATAAATACCATAAGTTACTCCATAAAATCTGATTATATTGTTATGGTTTAAATCTTTTAACTACCAAATTTAAAAAACGTATTATAATATGTTAACATTTTAAAACAAGTGCAATTTATTTTTAATGGTTTACCTTTAAAATTTCATCGCTAACCTTTAAAAATTAAAGAAAATTGGTTTATTATAATATATTATATATAATGTATATTTTATACACCAATATTTAAGCACCACCTACCTTTGAAAATTGGTTATTTTCTTTCGGAAATAATAATGCAACTCTCTCTTTAGAATCTTTCCATCTCGCATCTTTAAAAATCCCGAAATCCCATCTTTTCGATAATCTAACCACTAGAAATTTATCAAAAGGAATTATATCTTGATTGTTATTTTTCACTGTTTTAGAGATATGATTTTCTTTATTGTTCATTATTATTATTATCTAAAGTGTAGCGAGACCCTTCTGTTTGAGTAAAATATTTCTGTAAGAAACGACCAATGAAAATGAAATTCGAATAAAATCTGACTAATGATGTTATAT